TTTTTTTTTTTGGCAAAAAATGTGATTATGCTGGCTCGCGGTGCAGACTGCCATTATTATTCGTATGGTATGTTACTTCCATAAAAAATGGATTATCTTTTCTAAATGTGCGATGGATGGCCTTCTGTTGCTGATTCGAATAAAGAACCGTATTGAGGTGATTGCACGTGAAGGGTTTTTTTTTTTTTAATTTTGATTCTTGTTTGCACTTAAACTTTTTCAGTGATGATGCCATTCTGGATGTGGCTGCTCGGTTTCCACTTCATCCAGAGTTTTCATCCGGAAGCAGAAATCAAAGTTCCATATGTCAAAATTGTCTCCTCACTGATTACAATGATCGTCCCGCTACTTTTTGGCATAATGCTGTCACATTTCAGACCAACAATGCGCCACCAAGCAAGAAGGGTTTAATTAAGCTCATTTTTGAAGTAATTTAAGCATCCATTGGATCCACCGCCAAGATATGGTTATGAAATTTACGTAACTTCCATTTTTTCTTAACCCAAAATTGCCTTAATAAACAACTGTATCTTGATTTAGTGTATTTCGTCTCTTGCTTTCTCGACTTTTCCTGCTCTCATTAGCCGTTCAAACTCCTCCATAGTTTACTGCCGAAGGTGCGATACGCTGCAGTACATTACTTGTCAAACAGGACATATATGCATGCCTCCCTCAAACTTCTACACTTTCTGCAGTAACCCCACCCCTCCGAGCACTTTCCATGCCTCGGGCATTTGCGGCAAAATCAGCACACGGATCCTTCTCTCACCCGCTCATCTTCCCCTCTCCCCTACTTGGCCACGTCACGTTCCCAGTCAACTCACTCCAACACCCCTTCCACACGCTTGGCAAAATAACACAGCACAAGATTAATGAATCAATTTTGCACTGCTAATGGAGAGACAACGTATAAAGTAATTATTTTTAGATTATGCGCCCATTCATAATTTTCGTTTTGATCTTCCTCATTGGCTTTGGAACAGTGGCAAATATTTACATGATTCATCTGCTTACGATCACTGCCATTATTGGGTAAAGAATCTTTTAGTCTCTTCTTGTACAAAATTTCTCATCAAATTTCTTATGACTTTTAATGAATTGTGTGTTTTTATGTGAATTATTTTGAAAATTTGAATTTATAAGTTATTGAATTTATGAAAGAAATTGAATTATGAAAAAAGTGAGTTTATGAAATATGGTAAAAATTTGGTTCTGCTGTATTCCATTACTGTATTATTATATCAATCTCATGAAACCTGTCGAGATTATATATGAAAGAAGTTAGTTCTCTCTACTTACAGCTCTGTAATTGAACTGTCTGAACCCAAGATGGGAAAATTAAGGTAAAAATCATGTAAAAGCATAAAAGACGGTGATTTTCGGTTTTTTCAAAGTTCCCTGTTCATTTAGTTGTGCTCCCCATCAGATGCCTCATTATGCGTTTTTGCATACATGCAAGTGCGGAAATGCATATTGTGAAGATTCCGGTGTGTGTATGTGTGTCTGTCCGGGTATTTCAATTCGCCACTGAAACAGGCTCCGGCGCCAAAATTTTGCCAGTGGGTTCCCTGATCAAGTGCCACCCCAGGACCGCGGCACCATCCCTCACGCACGTCTAGGCCCCGCGTACGAGTCCCTCAAATTTTTGGCGGGAAAATCGCCGTCTTAAGCTAGAAAGCTGAAATTTTAAGGGAGTGTTCCCACTTCATATACAGCTAAAATTTATCAAATTCAGCCCCCAGGCATGCATGCAGCCCCGTGGAAATTTCTGCGTGCAGCCCCGTGGAAATTTTTAACTGGAAAATGGCTAATTCGGGAACCGAGAAAGCTGGGAGGTTGAAATTTTCAGAGAATGTTCCCAGCTCATGTGCGACTTAAAGATACTATATTTAGCCCCTCTTCGTACGTGGTTCCCACGTACGGTCCCGTGAAAGTTTTTGGCGGGAAATGGGTAACTCGAGAACTGGGAAAGCTAAGACCTGAGATTTTAAAGGAATGTTTCCTGTCCAAGTACAACGCAGATAACCAACTTCTCGAAATTCGAGGACCATTTTGTCACACATTTCTAGCTACTGGGTTTCGGAGCGGTCTCATTTGAGTACGAAACACTGCAAAAACGCATGATCGCATGGACTCGCCCGGTGTGCGTCGCCAATGATTTTCTTTTATTCCGATACGTTTCGGTTCGATTTCTTTGCTATGTTTCCAGTAGTAGCTTTTCTATTTTCATTCGCGTTAAATCTTTCGTTAAGTCATCTGCGCATTTTTCATAAAGCTACCGTGTTTTAGGGGTTTGCTACTTCCGTGGTGCGGCTTCTCCATTGGTTGCTTCACGGCCATCCTTCTCCGACAACCGCCTCCAAATGTTACAGCAATAGCCATTGAAACTGGTATCCAGAACACAGGCATCGCGATTATGCTACTTAAGGTATTGGCATTTACTTTTTCTCCCTTTGATGTCAGAGGTGAAGCAAATTTAATAAAATGGAATGATAAAACTTGCACCGAACAGCATACTTTATTAGATAATTCTATAAAAGCCGATTAAAAAATTTGTCCTGAATATGCACCTAGAAAGAACTACTTACTAGTAACGGCGCACAGCAAACTTATTCCTATGACCGTGCATTTTTGCGAGATTTTGTGAAGCATTGAGTTTGCTAACAGCAATATTAATGATCATTTGTTTTATGATTTGATATGTGCACTCATGTTGGAAATATTTTTGCTGCTGTCTTTAAATAATTCAACGTGTCAAAAAAATCAAAATTGGAATAGATTCTTCAACACAAATAGTACTTATGACGAAATGTTGGGGACAGTTAGTCCATAAAATGATTCTCCATCTCTACCAGTGGCAACTTTTCTACTTCTAGTGGCTTTGGTCAGTGCTGCACCGTCGGATAGGTAGAGGGACATATTAACTTATAGAAATTTATTTTCGGGGTCGAGAAATTGTATTAAAGAAATTGTGTTAACGAAACAATAAATTTTCAAAATGTCCGAAAGTAGGGGGATAATAATTAAAAAAATTTATCAAGGAAAAATCAAGCAAAACCAAAAAACTCTTTTATTCTGAATAACAGGGAAAAAGAAATGATGCAGCTTTAGAGTTTTTTAGTTCTCATTTCCGGATCCGGACGCCGATATTAGTGCGCTTATTCCTGTTATCGCAGCCAGCATGACACCATTACCACTGCTACTTATCGTTGCCCTACACTGGGCATGGAAAGCACTGAAAAAGAGAAGGACGGCCGACAAATGCAACGGTCTGGAAGCGAAAACAATTGAAGATGGAACGAACACCGGTGCGAATGGCATGGACGATATCGTTGTTACATGTAAATTTAAAGAAAACGAAGATAATCCCCTGATGAACAATGAAACGAAGCAAACTGCTTAACGGTAAGTCTCAATTTAACTGCATGATTCTGTTATGAATCTGCAAAATTTTGCATAAATTTATAAAATTCACATTTTTCGTTTCTTTTTTTTGTTTCTTAAGTATTTTTTGGCAGCTTCCCTGGAGCCCTATTTCTGCTTTTTATTCATCATTGATACCGAGATCCTGTTCTGAACGGTGCTAAATTTAACTGATATTTTCCGTACATTCATTTGTGATCTATCGAATGGTAATAAAATTTGAGTTATCACATCATTCTGATTACCAAAATTGTCTATCTGTAGTTGTGAATATTAATGTTACTGATGTGCAGTCACAGACTGGAGTAGCTGTGCCATGCCCTTCGATTTTGAAATATGTGACTTCAGGTAGTCTCGGCATATTTATCATGTTTATGCCACTTTTTCGGGGGCCATTAAAATGCTCGTTCTTATGTTATTTCAAAGAGGAACACATGGTAAATCACAGTTGATAAGGTACCTCATCGGTACCAAAACATTCATAGTGAGCTGGCGATACTCGACAAAGCCAAAAAAAGCTTGAAATATCTGAAGCCTTGCGAGTTGTTTCTGTTGGGAAAACGGCTAAGCTGTGAATCTTTTCAGGAGTTAAAACGAATTCTAAAATCGCTAGCAGTTTGACCACCAGGCAATGCAGCATTGGCGAAAATTGCCAGTAATATAATTAGGGAACTGAATCACGTGATAATCTCCGTTTTTGGTGTTCGAGGCTTAGTGGAAAACTATATTTTACATACAAAAAGTTGTAGATGAAAAATAATAAAATGAAGTAAAAAAACACGAGTACATGTATAATAATATACATGTGGAACAGAGATAAATAACAACTGCGTATGTTTTATTTAAATATTTTGTACTGAGCGCGTGAAAATATGTGTGAATGTTGGGGGCGTTTAAAATAGTTGGCCAACACACCGACTGCCGGTGCAAAGATGCGCTTTTTGCATAGTTTCCCACAGTTTTTGTCGCTACCGGCACTGGTTTTTCCGGCAGATGCTTCTAGCTAAACGAATTGAGAGTGGCCGCCAGGTCTGTCGAGAAGCATTCGTTTAAAATTTTAGCTTTCTAGCTTTCCTGTTTCCCAAGTTAGTAACTTACCCGCAAAAAACATTCATGGGCTGCTTGTGCATAGGAACCACGCATACCCGGGAGTTAGGTTTGAACTCATTAAAACCTATGTGGAAAACATCCCCTTAAAATTCCAGCTTTCTAGCTTCTCAGGTTCCTGAGTTAGCAGTTTACTCCCAGGAAATTTGGCGGATCCATTCGTGGTACCACGGACATCCGAAGGCTGGGTTGAACTCATTATACCTGCTTGGACGGGGAACACTCTCTCAAAAATCCAATCTTCCAGCTTTTCAGGTTCTCGAATTAGCGACTTACCCGCAGAAAAATTTCACGGGCCCGATCATGGGTACCACGCGGGTAAGACCGCCTATTTTGGGGATGGGAGCCCGTACGTGCATATAGATTAAGTTCCCAATGTTTCAGCCCTGTAGCTTTTGTAGGTCTCGAGATGACAAATCGGTACAGACGCACAGCGCACACAGACACACACACACAGACACACACACACAACCTCATGTATTTTCTGCATTGCATATATGCAAAAAACGCATGAAAAAAATCCAGAGAGTTAACAGATAATAATGAACAAATTGCAGGTGAAATGGCGTTAGCTGATGGTTGCTTGAAGGAAAGGAGTTCTCGATGGTCCTCAGTATCTATATCTCATCGGTATTAGCCTTCCACGGAATAAAACAGATCTCTCTTTTATTCTCTCTCGCTGCGTGTGGTCCTACTGAAACTGCGTCTCCTCCAAATCTCGTACGAGCCATCTCTCCGTGTTTCCCGTTCTGTTGTTCGTGGTGTTCTTGTTGTTGCCAATTGGTCGATGATAGCTTTCGCTAGGAATTCCGTTCTTTTAACGTATCTTTTTCGATTTAATTTTATTGTTGTTTGCTCTAATTAAAACTCTTTCACTGTCGTAGGCCTCGAGTTTTTAAATTATTCTTCATGATTTTGTAGTAACTTAATCCTTTCTTTGAAAGGATGTTGTTTCTGCTGTCAAAAAAAGCCTGTGGTACTTTTAAACTTGCCATAGAATTTGCCTGTACCCGGTCTTGTTTTGAAATTTTTTTCTGCTGATGTGTTGTGCGGGTCCAACAAAAGATATCACCGAGATATGATAATTCCTGAGATGCCCGGGTTTAGAAATCTTACATATCTTAGCTTTTTAAGAATCGAATACCTTTAGCCGAAACCAACTCTTTTCGATAAGAATTTCAAGAAATTTAATTTTGTGTTATCAGTTAACTGTCAAATGAAGCAGTTACACATTCCATACGTTCATTTAAAAATGAAGTAAAAAAAGCGCAGTACCGGTTCAGTGCAATAATTTACAGTGGCAGTACAGCTCTTTTGGTGGATTCTGCTTTTATACTGTGGTTGTGAAAATGTCTTAGAAATACGGTTATGTGTTCGATAGAATCCAGAGCTACACCGAAGAAATGGGTATTATTTTCATTGTTGCTAACGAATAAATTTACAATTTCATCAAATTAGTGAATACACAAATGAAAGGTGTTTTGTTTTTACTCAGCTTCGATTGTGAAATTTTGCCAGTTGTTCCCTGGCCCCCAAGGACGCGATATCATCAACTATCACGCACGTCTGCGCCCCACATACTGGTACGTGAAAGTTTTGGCGGGAAACGAGAGAAGCTAGAGAGTTGAAATTTTAGCATAGTGCTTCCTAGTCATGTACGACCAGAAATTTTCTAATTCAGCTCCTTAGAAGCGTCCAGTCTTACAAGCAGGTACGTAAGGGTTTTGGCGGGGGAACTGCTAATTCGGGAACGGGGGAAGCTAGGAATTTTAACGGAATGTTCTTTACCTAAGTACAACTTTCAGCTCCTTAGAACGTCCGGGTCTCACGTGCGGACACAAAAAATTGCTAACTTGGGAGCGAGGAAAGTTTGAGGGTTCAAATTTTAAAGGAATGTCCCTGTTCATGTACGACTGAAAGTTTTCAAATTCAACTTCTTGCTATTGTCCGAGTCTCACGTACGGACATGCTTCCCATGGTTATTCTAGCGATTCCCTGTGGGACCTTTTTCGCGCACCAGCGATTTTTTATTTGCCTGTCATTGAAGCAGACATCGACAACTGACACAAAACGTAGTTGTAACACACAACACTTAGCTTTTCCAATTTTGAGGACTAATGTCACAAATTCTAGCTACTGGAAATCCAAACGACCTTACTACAGCACGAAATAATACTATCATTGGCGACGCGCACCGGGCTGGCCCGCGCGATCATGCGTTTTTGCAATATTTAGCGCTGTAATGAGATCGGTCGGAAACCCAGTAGCCAGAAATACTGGTCCTCGAAGCCTCGGAAATTACTTGTATATGGGGTAGTTGGACAGGGAACATTTCGTTGAAATTTCAGCTTTCCAAATTTCCTTCTTGAATTAGCAATTTTCGTGCCAAAAATATTCACGAGGCCGTACGCGACAACCACGCATGCCCGGGGGACTGAGTTTGATAAATTTAA